AACCCCAAGAAGGAGAGAGAGAGAAAGAGAGAGCCGGTTTCGCGCTCCGGGCGATACGACGGTGCCCGCACAAGACTCGCGGAAATCTTGCGAAAGCCCCGAGCAGGTTGGGGTATTACGCGCGCAAACTCGCTCGCTCGTGCTCGCGTTATGTAAATGATAACGCGCAACTTCCTCAATAACGATTAAGAAATACGAGCGGTTCCTACCGGGCCGGTTTACGTAAACGTTTCCGCAGCGGGGCGGTCTCGGGCCGGAATCCCATCGATCCGCGCGGGCACAACGTGTCGTCGTCGCCGTTCCGGCAGAAATCGCTCGAGGGCCCGTTTCGAGAGAGAGAGAACACGCGCACTCCGGGCCGCGGGAGATCTCGCAGCCTCGGCGTTTCGACATCCGCCTCCGTGACGCCGCGCGCTCGAACGTCGATTCGCTTCCGCGCGACGTGTAACGCGCGCACTCGCGGGCATTTTAATTTTCGTAGGAACTCGTAAGCGAACGTTGCACAATCCCTCGCTTGCGTAACACGCCGGCGGGGATATCGTAACATCTATTTATATCCGGCAAATGACAATGCGAGAAGCGAAGCCCGTCTAATTTCGCATTAGCTATCTCCCCGAATCTCCCCCGCGCTTCAGCGGCACGCGCGAAGCGTTTAACATTTCTATGGAATCGCCACGCCGTTCGGCGAGCGGCGGTCACCGAGTCATCTCGGGTGGCGCGAAAGCGGGCCTAGAGGCGTCTTAAATCGCCGAATGTTAAATACAATTGTACTTTACGTAATTACGTCTAATTATACGCGTTAGCGCCAAACGACAGCCGTTTAAAATTGCGCCAAGATACGCTAATGGGCCGCAATTAACATTTTAGAGTTCACCTTCGCCCGATAAGATAAAAATTCCTCTATGAATACACGTATAATTATTATTATTATCGTGCCCTCCCGCCTTATCTTACGGCGTTACTGTATCTTACGGTTTTCTCCGTGGATTCCGGCGCGCAAAGTAGATCGCGAATACACAGAATTTTCTCTTCAAACTCGCCCTGAAAATCGTGTGATCGCGGGACGACGTGGCGCTTCCAAGAACTTTAGGAGTTTTTTTTTTTAATTTCACCATACATTTTACCAGTAAAATTTCCCGTAACTCTCACGAAGTTCTTCGAAATGCCGCGTTGTCCCGCGATTACATGATTTTCAGGATAGATTTTAAGAGAAAATTCTGTCCGCGTACCCCCTTAAGCTTGGGGTGGCGCAGTACCGCGAAATTCGAGGTACAAATTTCTAAGTGAAACTGAGATCCGAGTTACACGCTGATAGGGGACGCCTTTCCCGCTTTATTAGCGCGAGGTATAAATATATCATTACTTTTGTAGAGAAGATACTTTTGGAGGGAGTGAGAGAGAAAGAGAAAGAAAGAGAGAGAATAAAAATGTTTTTTTTTCCTAAAAAATATATCAACATAATTAATTAATAGACGTAATGCAAGGGCAATCAGAGCCAGGCGCTAGAGCGCGGATATAACAATCTTATCCATTTTGTACCAGTTATAATCGCTTGAAAAGGACCAAAACCCATGGTCGGAACGTCGCGATACCAAACCATAAAAATTGCCAGATATGGTCAACCAAATTAGATGTTGTTAATTTTTACTGGCGACCCTGAAGAGTTTCTGATCAATCTTTTGTATATTATTTATTTGAAATTGACCATGTCAAACGTTTCGACCGAGGGGGAAACCGCTGATCAAAATCTTGTACACCAATGCCCACTAATGTCCAGTGGGCATTACTTTATCTTATTATCTTCTTTTATCTTATTTATCTTGTTTTATCTTATTTTATCTTTATAATGCCTCAGCAAGACGTAATGCCCCAAAAATGCCCTAGTAATGCCCGGTAATGCCGCAAATCTGTACACCACAATGCCCTCAGCGGTTTCCCCCTCGGTTTCGACCGACCAAATTGTTAAATTATATAATTCTTGATTGGATGGCGCTCATATCTACCTGTTACATCCTACTTTGGTACGAATATCACATTGTGATACGACACGCTTAAGAGCGTGGCTCGCGCGAGCGAGACGATCGTTTCGCGGCGAAATCTCCGGTCGAATTCTCCGATTCGGCGACTATGCCGACTCCGAGACGCGTTCGCATTCCGCGCGGCGCTCCGGGAGAGACAACCGCGCCGCTTATTTACCCGCCGCGACGTCCCGCGAGTCCGCGAGGCGAGCGGGTTGACGTCAGCGTTAATTAAATTCCGCACGACCGGTTATTAACATCGAGCGGATTAAAAGCGAGGCCGGGGCTTCCAGCGGATTTCCGGGTTCCGCGCGTCGCGGCGCGCCGGAATTAACTCCTCGGCCGCGCTCCGCTCCGCGTCGCGTCGCGTCGCGTGGCGTGTCCCGAGCGCGGCGACGGGCGGGAAAATCTAGGAGGAACGAAAATGGACCGGACTCCGTCGAGTGGCTGACCTTTCGCGCGCTCGACGGCGCGGCGAGCCGCGCGGGATCCGAGGACGGGATAAACGCGGCGGAAAGTGCCGGCGACTTGCCCGCGGATCCACCGTCAAAAAAAATAAAAAATAAAAAATAAAACGGGGACGACGACGACAGGGCGAAGCGATTCGCAAAATTAGAAGGCGAGTCGGTCGCCACTTGTAATTAAACGCGGCCGCGTAGCCGGCGCGCGAGGCAATTTCGCTTGCCTTCGCGTCCGCCAGCTGTATCGATTATAGGTTTTCGCTATTAATAACGCGCGTTTAAAATCATCGCGGTTGCAGGCTTCATCTTACAGTCGGCGTCGTCCGCGAGGAGGACTGGAAACGTGATCTCCTCGGAGCCCGGGGGGCCGCGGAAACGCGCCCGCCGCGTTCTCGGGCGTGACACTTCGCGCGCCACGTCAAAGGAAACGGACCGTCGCTCGCCGGGCGCGCGAATTAAAGACCCAGCGGCAGCGGTCGATCGGCATCAACCGCGGCGCGGGACCCGGTTCTGTTTTCGACTCCGGGCTGCCGTTGCGTCTGTCGCACGACGAATTCTCTCGAGCGCGTCGATTCCGCTGGCCGCGATTTTCCCCGCTGCAAAAACCCCGAGTCTATTCGCGGTGCAGAGTCCACGAGCGTCGAATTTACCGCGGCGTCTAGCAACGGGCTCGTCGAAGACGCGAGAAAGTGACACGTGACAATCGAACGCGGGGAGAATCGGTCATTCTCTTGAGTTCCCGCGTCTCGAGGGTCTCGGGGTGCATTCTGTGTCTTACGACACGGTGAAAATGCTGACAGCGAATTCGGCTGCTTGCACCAGTGCGCACCGAGTGCACCCTATGGCTTGTTTACATTCAATTTTTACGTCTAAGGCCCGGTTTCACCAAACGTGGCTTAACTTTGATCTTAGTTTAATTCGTGTTTGTCTCTTTCTAAAGTAACATTTGGAAAGAGACGGAGAACGAGTTAAACTAAGCTAAAGTTAAGCGACGTTGGTGAGACCAGACCTAAGAGTCGTCTGAAATATTTCCCGAAGTACTTTGTAGCCAGTGAAACGATCCGCGTAGCATCCATGCGGGACGATTTTTTGGCTAGATACTCTTTGAACATCCGTTGGAGGCAAAGGGCTTGTTTTCTGTTCCTGCACTGGTGAACTAGTGCAGTAAGCTAGAATGAGAAAAAATATACTTGTCTTACTCCAATTTATTGCACTAGTTCACCAGTGCAGGAACAGAAAACAAGCCCAAAGTTAAGTACAAAAATTCACTATAAACAGGCCTTAATGCGCGCTCAATGCGCACTAGTGCAAGCAGTCGAATTCGCTGTAAGTGGGCCGCTTCGTCTCTTTCCAAGCTGACGGGTAGACGGAGAAAGAGCTACACTTTTAGCATTTTCACCGCGGTGTAAAGCCAACAGCGGCGCACGGTGCTTTCCCCGCTGGATCGCACGCGAGAGTCGATCCAGAATTTAGCCTCGAGTCACCCGGTCCCCGCGTCCTCGTTGATTCGCGCGAGCGATGCAGCGGGAAAAGCAGTGTCGCGCGCCCCGAGACACATGCGGGGTCCACAGTGCGAGTCGCAGAATAATCGACTGCGATTGGTCAATTCCGTCAGACGCGTAAGGAATTGACCAATCGTAGTCAACTATTCGCACGACTTTACCGACTTCTACGTAGACGAGGCTACAGGCATCGACACCCGCGCGGCAGACGCGGCGTACGAATTTTACAACCGTTGCGAAGCAGCCTTTTCCCCGGATACGGCGACACTTGACAAAACCTGTCGCGCGGCAAACGTAAAGCCCGTGTCAGACTACGGATTGAGATTGGGATTAGATTGAAATTTGACCAATCGGAGTAAAAGTTACTGAACTTGCGATTAGTAAAGCCTGTATCAGACTACGGATTGTGATTGGGATTAGATTGAAAATTGGCCAATGAGAGTAAAAGTTACTAAACTTGAGATTAGTGAACTCTACTGCGATTGGTCAAATTTCAATCTAATCCCAATCTCAATCCGTAGTCTGATACGGGTTTTAGCTTTACTGTGATTGGTTAAATTTCAATCTAATCCCAATCCCAATCCGTAGTCTGATACGGGCTTTAAGCCCGGATTGGGATTGGGATTAGATTGAAATTTGACCAATCGGAGTAAAAGTTACTGAACTTGGGATTAGTAAACTTTACTGTGATCGGTTAAATTTCAATCTAATCCCAATCCGTAGTCTGATACGGGCTTAAAACAGCACCCTCGGATTATACTCGCGGATGGACCTCGCGCGACTCCGAGAAGCGAGGCGCGAGTCCAGCGACAACGAGGGTTTGTTTACAATCGGGATGAACCGTTGAAGGAGCGACGCGCGCGCGCGCACTCATCGACGCACACACTCGCGCATACACACGCACACACAGACGCGCGCAGGCACGCACGCACGCACATTCACACACGTGCGCGCGGAGAGACGGGCGCCGCGAGATTCGTCGGCGAGCTACGCGCAGATAATCCGGGGCGGACAGTTACCTCGATCGCTGGCCGCTGTTTCGTCTCCCCGTGGGCGTCTGCGGTCTCCCTCGTCGGCACAGAAATCCTTTGCCGGGCTGCCGCCGGGCTAATTATCACTCGCTGTCACGGTCCGACCGGGCACAAACCATCCCACCGGCTTGTTCATCGGCCGCCGAGATGCGGCGCGCGCTCGCTCACGCACGCACGCACGCCCGGCACGCGGCGCGCGTGTAATCAGGTCGCGGCGGGCGGCATCCGCGCGCGCGACACGGCGCGGAGGTGTGAGACGACGAGGTTGAGACGAGACGGGACGAGACTCGCCGCGGCGCACGTGCGGGCACGTGAGACGCGGACTGTTACTCGGTTACTTGCTCGCGCCGACCGCGCGCTATCGTCGGGTTATCACAGAAGGGAACGGGAGGGAACTGTCGCGGGCATCCGGCACTTTTTTTTTCCCCCCGGGGGCCTCGAGCGCGCGCACCACTCGCGGGTTGCTCACTCGCGACTGTCTCTGGGAGCTCCTCGCGGTACGCTCCTACGCTCCTCGCGCTCCGCCCGGCGCCGCCTGCGGGAGCCACGGGACACGACGACGGGGAAGGCGACGCGGACGCGGGGCGTACGCGGGACCTAGAACGCGCGCGAGCGCGCACGCGGAACGGGCAGCGCGGCTACTCGCGGGGGCGAGTCGCGATCACCCCACTTGTCCCGTCGTGCGGAGAGGAGCGCGCGGCCGAGCTTGCGTATCTGCGACTGGCGGACAGACAGAGCGAGAGTGAGTGAGTGAGAGAGAGAGACCGTGCGCGGCGGCTTCGCGTGCACCTTCGTACTGTCGCGCTACGAGGTCGGCGAGCGACTGATCGGACACCGCGGCTGTAGGAAGTGTCGAGTGAAGGTTGCCGCCAGACGCGCGCGACACCCCACCCCGCCCCCCCCTCCGGCGCCCGCGGCGGCCGCTGCGCCGCGGCGGTGCGCGCGAGCGAGACGACGCGCGGAGAGAAACAAGTGTCGGGAGCCGCGCCGCGACCATTGGCCGGCGCCGTCCGCCAATCGCCGCCCGCCGTCCCTCGGAGCCGACGGAATTAATCGAACCGCAGTCATGGCGGTCGGGAGTGGGGATGCTCGCCGGCCGGGAAGTCGCAACGGAAGGGGGGTAAGGGGGGAGAGAGAGAGAGAGAGAGAGATCCGCGCGCCCCCTGCTCCCCGCCGTGGTCGACTTCCTCGTAGCTTCCTCGTAATCGCGATCGTGATTGTCGTCGAGTTAACCCCGGCCGATCGTTTCCACTTGCGCGCAACGTGAGACAACGGCGATGGAAGGAACGGGCGGCCAGACGATGACTTTTCATTTCCTTCCTCCTCGGCCCGGAATCCGCTCGCGCGCGCGCGCGGCCGCGACGATGCGAGATTCAAACGATAGCGCCGTTGGCGCCGTTTCTCGGTCCTCGGGGGGGATCCCCGGAGAGTCCGCGGAAATTGGTCACCGCTCGACGTTCGGTCCTGAGGCTTTTAGCCGCGTACCTCGCGGGACAGGTCGATTCGCCTTGCCTCTTCACCTCCTCCTCCTCCTCCTCCTGCCCCGCAAGATGTACGGTAAGGTAAATATTGGACGCGATAGCGTGCGCTCTTCGCCGCTGTGTCGGCCGAGGTTACGATTCTTGAGCCTAGCGTCATTAACGCGTTAAGCGTCGTCTACAATAACCGGCGTAAGCGTGGACTAAGAAGTAAGAGTAGGAGTAACGTTTTTGGCGTAAGCTGTTTACGCCGACTCAATCTACAATACGGTGAAGTAGGTGTTGTAGGCATGCGTGAAAAGGCGTAAGAGTAAGAGTAGGCGTAAGAAATAAAAATAATTCATTTCGCTTACGCTCTTACTCCAGCTCTATTAAACTGGAAGTAGCTCTCTTACGCCTACTCTTACTTCTTACTCCACGCTTACGCCGGTTATTGTAGACGACGTTTTAAGTAAGCGTGGAGTAGGAAGTAAGAGTAGGCGTAAGGCCGACGGCAGAGAGCAATCCGTAAACGCTCAAGACTGTCTCAGTCGTAAACGTAAGTCGCGAAAGGCTTTTGTATACGACTTGCGTTTCTCTCTGCCTTGCCCTACGTCTACGACTACGACGTATTTTAAGCGTTTACGGATTGTTCTCTACCATCAGCCTAACGTTTTTGGCGTACCCAAGTTCTCCTCCTGCGTTCTGATTGGTCGAGCGTGAGCGTAAGAGTAAGCGTAAGAAATAAAAATAATTCATTTCGCTTACGTCCTTACTCCAGCTCTCTTAAACCGGAAGCAGTTCTCTTAAGGCTGGTCTACAATACATGGAGTAAGCTGGAGTAAGCTGGAGTAAGGAGTAGGAGTAAGAAATAAAATGGATTTATTTC